CACCGTGGCCCTGCACGCGCTGATGATCAATCCTGAGCACTGGAAGGTACGTCCTCCCGTCATCCGAGTATTTGACATTCAATAATTGTCTTCGGTGTAGGATCCCCTCACGTTCAATCCCGAGAGATGGGGAACCGAAGAGGTCAGGAAACGACACCAACATGCTTACATTCCCTTCGCCGCTGGTGAGTCTTTACCTAACTTCCGCCGTATTCTCATTGAATTTGTGAAGGCGCGCGGGGTTGCATTGGATTCAATTTTGCGCTCCAGGAAATCAAGATTATTCTCGCCCGAGTTGTCCTAAATTTCCAGGTAGAAAACACCACGGAGGGCGCTGTCATCTACGACCCTGAATTCCCACTTTACCGGCCGCTGAACTTCAGTATGAAGCTTCATAAGCAAGTCGAGGCTTCGGCAGTGACATTCGATAAGCCGATAGTCGAGGAAAAAATACAGGCGCCGCAGCCATCGGTTGGGACCAAGAACTTGCCCAAATTTTGGGCCGTTCACGCGTCTAACACAGGGAGCTGTGAAGCAATGGCGGGTGACGCCGCCGCGAAGGCACGCCAACTTGGCTTTGCAGATGTACAGATTGTCCCACTCGCCGACTCTCCTCTTTCCGACCCCACGCGAACAGCGGAGGTTGCCGCGGGCTCCAATTTCTTCGTTATCTGTGTCGCGACCTACAACGGCGAGCCCCCTGATGCTGCGCTTGCCTTCTCCGAGACCTTGGACATGGAGATGAAAGCCGGAAACGATTCTCAATTTTCTGGTATCAATTTCTGCGTCTTCGGCGCGGGTAACACCCAATGGGGTCCAACTTATCAGGCTTTCGTGAGTTCTCTGGCTGAGATTTTGGACTGTATCTGACAATCTCGTCAGCCAAACAAGGTCGATGCAGACCTCGCTGCGCTCGGCGGAAACCGCATCTTCGAGAAAGGCAGCGGTGACGCCAATGCGGACCAGGACAGCGATTTCACGGACTGGAGCACTCGGTTGTGGGCTGCCACGGCCGCCAATTTCGGGATTGACATTAATTTAACTGGCGCTGGGGGCGAGAACAATATACTCTCCCACTCTCCCGAGTACGCCCAGGACTCAGTCAAGGTCATTTACCTCCCAACAACATCCTCCGGCGCTGCATCCGTCCCCCAGCCTCCTGTTCCGGAATTTGTTCAGGCCACGGTGCGCTCAAACATCGAGTTGGTGGATGAGGATACTCCGAAGCCTCGTAGCATGCGCCTTCTCACCATCGATATCCCGCAAAGTTTCACCTACCGCGAGGGTGATCATCTGGATATCTTCCCAGAGAATGACCCGGCTATCGTTGAACACCTCCTCACTGCTTTCGATTTCGTCGCGGATGCCGTGTTCACGGTGAAGGAAGTGGTGGATGCGGATGTTAATCCGAAATCGTTGGCACTTTTACTGCGCGACCGCCACGTTACGCTACGTGAGCTCCTCACGTATTATGCGGACTTGTCTGGACCACTCCAGCGGAATAGCCTTCTGCTCATCTCCTCATTCCTCCCCGTTGACGCCAAGTTTCAGAGTCTTCAAGAGACTTTGACCGACGCTGGTTCAACCTTGGACCCCATCGATGACGAATTCTTCCAAAAGAATCGCAACTTTGCCCAACTCATTATCAACTATCCAATGCTCGCTCAGGCTTTCGACCTTCCAAAACTTCTTACGATTCTCCGAGCAACTCAGCCACGCCGCTACTCCATTGCGAGCAGTCCATTGGCTGACTCACGCGTGGCGAAGTTGTGTGTCGGTGTCGAAGATAGTCGGGTCGCCGATTACGAGGGACTGTGTTCTGGCTTCCTGAAGCGTGTCGGGGCGGGGCACATCCTTTGGGTGAGGCACCGCTCGTCGCAAGATTCATTCCATCTCCCAACCGATCCCACAATCCCTGTCACCATGATCGCCGCTGGGACTGGTATCTCTGCTTTCCTTGGGTTCATGGTAGTGTACTATCTCTAAGCGTGGCTTCCATCTCACGATTTGGATCTCACAGGAGCATCGACGAGCACTAGGAATGAAAACCGAGGAGTCCGGGGGCCAAGCGCCCTTCCGATTATTCTATGGGATTAGTCGTCCCGACATGGCTGCTCTGAAAGGGTCAGCGATATTCTCATTCATTACGCGGTGCTATCGACTGACTTCTAAATCTAAGATTGGTCCACGGCTATGTGGATGATGGAACTATGATCCTCGAAACCGTCTATTCTTCCGACAATTCGGCCAGGCGGTTTGCTCAGCAGCTGCTGACGCGGGACGGAGTGAAGGTATGGAATGATCTCAGCAACAATGGACGTATCTACGTTTGCGGATCTGCTGTACGGGTGGGTGCAGGCGTGCGAAATAGCCTGATGCATATTGGGGAGCAGATCGGAGGCGTTGCTGATGCTTCGGGATGGCTAGCTGGACTCAAGAAAGAGGGGAGATATAGTGAAGACATCTTCGGTTGATTCCTTGTTGTAATTAGATGGATTCAATAAAGTAACTACTTGCTCAAGTTTCGTGTAAAGTATTCCCATCGTTGAACAAGGTGAAAATACAGCGCGAAATAAACCAACGAAAAGTAGCATCCGTAGAACGGCCTGATGAAGTTTGGGTTCCAGCGCTATCCCCCGCTTTAAGCCACAAGCCTAAAGACGGAGGGCACAGACAGCGCGCTCTCGCATTCCACACTGATGCTTTGTTGACAGGCACAACCACCTATTCATTTGTGCGAAGAGGACCAACCCCGAACGCTTCACGGTTAAATTCTGTCTCCGAGCCCGAACAGCAACGTGATTAAGGTGCCACATGCGCTTCACTGCATACTTACGTGGCGCAGTTTGCGCAGTCCACTAATCGATGTGCTCTGAACCTATCAAGAAAACACTAACCAAACCAAACCTCAACACAGAAGTGCGTCAGAAGGAACAGGAATGCTCGAGAAGTGCACAGACGAGTATCAGAACCTGGCACAAGGCCTTATAAAAGGTTGCAGGGAATGAACTAGACCTCGTAATCGAGATGAGAGCGTTGTATTGTTTGTGGAAGTCCTTGGAACAAACTAAGCCTTAATCTGAGTGAACCGAAATGGAACCGGAACAGACAGGAAAGCGAGTGTAGCGCAACGAAAGCTTCGATGCGAATGGAACCCTTGCTATGCAAGTGTTCTGGCTAGATCCGAGTGAACGGGAATTGGCCCGAACAGACAGGAAGCACAGTGCCTGAAAACCGATTGCCTGAATTTCAACATTGTGCGGTGGAATATAAGGTATTTGGTGTTGCAATACAACGGGATTCGTGTTGACTTCGCGCCTTGAAATCCAGGTAGTCTGACACCCCCAGTGCGCATGTACATAATTATTTATTGTCAATTAAAATTTCCCTTCGCATCGCTCATTTGGGCCTTTCGGGCCGCTCTGAGTCGACACCCTCACGCGAGCTGCGCTCTTAGAGCTTTTGCTCCGTGTGGGCTGTTTTGGGTCGCCTCCTCATCGGGGCCCAAAGGCTCCACTGCCTACTGAGATTGGCATCCGCTCTCACCCCATCCCGATTCGCAGCCCCGCTACCTCTACGGTGCGTCGACGCCTTCGCGAATCGGGCCGCGGAGCGGCCCAATCCCACCCGCAAACCTATCACATTAATATATTCATATTCCTCCTGAGACATCACCGCGGTCGCAGACCGCCACGCTAAATACACAAATACATCATACATCACATGTATATACAAGCGGACACGATATCTCCCTTATTGGGAGCAGGACACTTAAGATCCTCCTTTGGACTTAAGATCCTACTCCGGGACTTAAGTTCTGTCAGAACCTAAGTCCGGAACTGTTCGGTACTAATGTCGTGGGATAGCAGTATATATGTACAATACGGCGGGTAGCGTACATTCCACAACTTAAGTCCCATTCCAGAACTTAAGTAGCCATACGGTTCCTGCCGGTCTAAACTTAAGATGGGCTCCTTTTATTTCATGCTCACCAATCTCTCCTTGTCAGCGTCCACCTCAAAGCACACCCTCTTGTTACTGCTACTCGGGTGCTCTGTGCTGATGCTGACGACGGCGGATCTTGCTGGGACGCTACGGCTCACGGGCAATATTAATGCAGCTGCTGCCGCTGCCGCCGCACCCGAACAGCGCTCCCCTGCCCACAAAAGGCATCTCCCTCCACGAAATTGCGCATTATGCCTCCCGCTTCACTTTCCACGTACCGAGCACCACCGCCCGTCGTCGATCCTCCCGCGCACCAAACCGACACTCTCCATGCCACCACACCGCGCCCCCCCAGGACGCCATCGCCGTCGTCGCTCACGCGTGCACTCCGTTGAAAGTCGCTCCATATACCTCCCGAGATCATCCTTTCCGATCCCAGATGGTGGGTTAACTAGGGGCCCGATGGAGCCGTTCACGTATAGGATCTGGCTGCCATTCGCAGCGGTGTGACTGTGAGCTCGAACACTTTTCACCGTAGGTATTCCCGCAGATAGATAGGGCATCGTCGTCCCTGTCTCAAATTCAACTCCGCATTCTAAGACAAATACTGCAATCCCTTCTTTCGACCGAAGTTCTTGCTTCCCTGGGTCTCCGTACGTGAGCTGCGTCCAGGAAGTCGCTACATCATTGCGTGAGATGTTATTCATATTCACGTCCCGACGGGCAAGTGATCTTCGACTCAGAATTTCCTCCTAAATGTTCTGAAATCTCATTCAACTAATGGTCTCCCCAATCGTGTTGACCTACCCCGCCAGCTCTCTTGTAAATTTCGATGAAGGATAATCCAAAACGAAAACGCGGTCCACAACTCGGACACGCTACGGCCGGCCGGAAGCGCTCCAAATAGTGCTCATATTTCACTCGACGCTATGAAAGAAAAGGCGAGCCACAGCCTCACCGTCACATATCCCAATTTCTCGCCGGCTCGGCGCCGCGACGTAGGTGCATTAATGTCTTCTGCGGGGGAAAACTTTGAGCCATCGGTCCCATACGGGTGTCCTCGGGTGGATTCGAACCACCGTTTCTCCCATATTTATTCTCTAAGCATACGTCTGCATAGACTGGGAGCGGGTTGCATTACCCCACGAAGACTGGGTCACACTTTCCGGGAGCCCTTGCGTGGTATCTGCGCGTCAAAAACATTACTACAAATATGGCACATTTGCTCGTGTGGATTTCAACCACCGGCTCTCCCTGTAAGCTGCAAGGGGACAATGATAATAGCTGGGAGCGGGTTTGATTGCACCACGAAGACTTGCTATGGTCTTAGACTACCTGTTGAATTCGCAATGTCTCTTGAATCGCTTGAGCCCGCGATGTCGGCGAAGAGTAAACAGTTTTAATTCACATCTCTTGGGACGTCGCTTATTTCTCTCGCGCTCCTAGGGTAAACCGCGGTGGACTTACCCGGCGGACATGGTATCAGACATTCCATGTTCCATTTTCTAAGAGCGGTTTTGACTAACCCACGAAGACTTAGCGGGGCTCTCGCTATCCTCTTTAACTCACAATCCCACTAGACTCAGTAACCTCGATGCTTGGATGCGCTTCTATAGCGACAGCGCTTCTTCACCTCGCAGGGCAACTCCTGCTGGAATAAACCGTAATAATGCTTGGTGATGATTACCCCCTGGGGCGTCGTCGTTCCTTCGTCTGCAGGGGAAAAAAGACACCAGCGGTACTTGTGCTCGGGTGGATTCTAACCACCGGCTCTCCCAGGTTGAAGATGTAGCCGCATTCTTGAATGGCTGGGAGCGGATTTCACTACCCCACGAAGACTTAACATCTATAGAAGTCACTCTGCTGGAGCACTCACTGTGTTTAACCCGGTCCTAGTCGCCGATTGGTCTAGGATGAAGACGGATCTAGCCGAGTCTATTTCTGTCTAAGCGTCTAGATCGCGCCGGTCTAGGGCACTTAGGCACCGCTTCGACGACTTCAGGCGGAGGACGTGGGAGATATATCTATATTAGCTTTGCTTAAACAATGTTCGTCTCAACGCAAAACAGGTTTCAAGTAATGTTCTGTTCAAACACACTGCAGGGCATGATCTGCGAGCCATGCCTCTTCTCGGGAAGCGATCAGTGCTCAAACAGCGGTGTTTAAACGGTAGGTTAAACGAGGTTAAACGATGTTCATGGATTCTTTAAAAAGACAATACCAGTGTGGGGTTCGAACTGTGTCGGACCTATATAGGAGGGGGCCAAGGAGGAGCGACACAACCGCTGTGCCAAAAGGCGAATGATGGTTGCTGTAATACACCCATCCTGATGCCATATTGGGACACTTCGATTGCCTCAGGGATGTTGATATTTAACATAGAAGAAGCTCTTTTCCCTTGGAGCGGCAGGAATCACATTCCTTTTTATCTTTACTTGACCTATACACTGAAGCAAAATCTGTGAAAATGCCAGATCAACTACGCACCATCCATCGTTTCTTTTAGCTTAGAATCACACCTACTAATTTCACGGTCAGAGCAGCCTAATTAGGGCTGATCAAACTGCGATCACAGTGTGTCCTAATGCCAGATACCAGTTATGAAACCCAAAAGTGATGAGAAGATGTTTAATCCATCGTACCCCAAGAGCTGGTGGACTTATCACTCACGCCCCCAAAAAATGCAATAGTGTTTCTCGATCACATCTGTACGTACATCTCTCCCGCAACACTCCTTCCCTCTGACTCAGTGGTTATACTTCGATTCTTAGTTGTTCCTCGCGCAGTTTCAAATCCGCCAAGTGGCAGCTTTTTTGTGTATGAACCGCGTTCACCTTCCCCGGCTGTTTAAACAGAACAATATTTAAACCCTGTTTGGCGATGCGACCCTCATTGTTTAAACAAACCTAATATGGTTACTGATCATGGCAGGGCATGATAGCATGCTAGCTGCGCGTGTCAAGCAGACAAGGAACGCCAATCGCCTGACTGCCTTGCCAGAGTATCTTGAAACTCAGGGAGTGCCCGAGGTCAAGGATCCGGGATACTGAACGGGGCAGCAACCGGAACATGAGGAAGTTTTGATGGCTGGTTGCATCTCGATCCATGGATCGAATAAATTGGATACTCGTTGCAACTCTCCTAAAACCTCGTCTGAAACTTTTGCGCTCACCATGATCACTGGGGAATACGATCTCAGGAAGATCCCCGCGAAGTATCATCGCTACAACGAGCTTCACCCCTCCCTCATTCGTCTCAATGACGAGTCGTTCTTGATGCGCTTCCGCGACGGAACACGCCCATCCGTCATCACAGCGAAGCAGGTGCGGCTGTTCTTCATCCACAACATGCGCCTGCACGACGCCTCCCTCGACTTCGACTTCAAGCCCGACGGTTATCACCCATTCGTCGAGTTCCTCAACGCCTACGACATTTCAGGCTTCACCTTCGCGTATTACAGCGAAATCGAGCACTGTGTCAAGTACCCTTTTCCCGAGCTCCTCCCTGCGGCCCTCCTCGAGTTCTTGGTGACCGACCAGGACATCGAACCTGGTGAGAAAGTTCGCCCGGGCTATAAGCAGGCTACCATCGCAGCGTACGACACCTGGATGGACGGTCTTGCGCGTCGCGAGGTTGGCCGTAGCCGCTATAGGCAGGAGAGTTTAGTGTGTGAATATCCTCCAGCTATACAGCGGCGGCCGCCAATCATGTGTGTGAGGGCAGTCATTCGTGACATTGTTCGTCATCCGAAACTTGTTCGTTGGAAGACTCTACCGGTGCGGCCCACTTGGGGAGTTGTAAAACTCATAGAATGCCTAACCATCCTTGAGACGGTGTACATTACTGTTCTTTCACATCAGCAAAACAAAACTCATCTGGCTCATCTGGCATCAGATCAACCAAGCGCGCCATATCGCCAGAATTGCATCTGGCAGCATAATTACCCTCGCGACGCCATAATCAGTTTTGGCGCCAGAAACACATCAGAAACACCATTATGGCTACACATGGTCATTGTCAAGCTTGGTTGGAACCTTCAGGGAGAATGAATACACGCTATATTCATCATACGGAGTGGCTACTACAATGACTAGCCTCCCGTACTGTCTCCTCCGCGCCGATCCCACTCACTACACCTCGTCGAAGCCGCCGTACGTTGACATTTCTAGACAGCGGCGCCCGAGGCACTGGCTTTATTTTGGATCAATAAAACATCGAAACAAGAACAAACTGACATGTACATACCTGGCACTTGATCCACTTAATACCTTCCCATGACCACCGCCATCCAACGAGAGGCACATCCTATTGAAGAGCCTGAAGCAAGGTCGGTAAAGATGGTAAGAAAAAGCTAAGAAAAAGCTCTGAAAGTTCCATGGAGAAACAACTTGAAGCGGACATCTTGCTGAGATACAAATTGCGGCCCCTGGAGAAGTGAATGCGACCGAGTATTATGAGCCGAGGACTTGAGGCCGGAGTGAGTGATACTTGAAAGCTTTGAAGCTTGATGACTTAATTCTTGAGACCTTGGGAGCTTGAAGACATTGAACACGAGCGAAACCGAGAACAAGGCGCGGCGCTACAGCAGCATGGGTACCAAGTCCGAGATCACAACAACTAGTTTGAATTTGCGGACCTCGGGTGCCTCTAACGGGTTGATAGGCCTGAAAACGACCTCTCCTCGAAGGCGCAGGCAAGGGGCATGCGGGAAAGGTCAAAATGCAAGGGCGATGGTGGTGGAAAGAGGAAGAGAAGTGCCCATCAAAGTCAACCATCGACCGAAACACGTGATGTGCCTAGGCCCTTCCGCAGTTGATGCCAAGCGTGATGTGGGACTTGTTCTGTGCGACTCGACTACATCCCTTTGCGGGATTGTCAATCGAGCTGCAAAGCAGAAATCTTCAATGAATTTGATCTTTGTATGAAATCTAGTTGTCAAACTGGTGGTGGGTTGAGATACTGGCCGAGTGAAAAACCTCACAATCTATGGGCCGTCTGGCTGGCATGGCCAGCATGGTCGCCATACCAGTCAGATGCGTCAGAGACGGCCAGACGGCGCCATAGTCGCCAGAGCAATTCTGTTTTGCTGATGCATATGACTTCCAAATTGGGTCAAGCCGTTGGCTCAGCCGTAAGCCAGCCGGGACAAGCCGGCTTTTTGCGGCTCGGCTCGGCTCGGGAGCCAGCCATAGCCGAGAAGCGGCAACGCTAATGCATCAGTGTGTGTTCCCGAGCCAGCTGCTCTGTGTCTGCAGGCTACATGGCCCACTCTCCCCCACATACACCATGCGGCGGGAACGAATGAAGGACAAGAGCTCTTGGGTGTGTCGGTGAAGGTGAGAGCCAAAGTACATCAACGTTGCAGCACCCGGAGCGGTTTCGACGTCAGCAAGAGGCGCTACCCGCACTGGATCCAATCTTAGCAAACAAGGCGCGCACTCCACGGCCATTTGTCCGTCCCATTAAGCTCAATCACACCCCACCCCTCGATAACGTCGCTGTACGCGCGCCACATCCAGCCGATGTTCTTGGCTTTGAAGTAGTCCTCGCAATGGCGGTCAAGCAAGTTCCAGTACGCCTCCTCCGATGCCACGCTGGCCACGACGGCGGGGCTGTTGGGCGCAAACTCGTCCTCGTTGCTTGGCCAGCCCGTCTGAAGATAATTCAGCTCCGAAGGACAGACCAAGTGGTTCCCCAAAAGAGAAAGTCGAAAACTCACCTGCGTGATGAGCAGCGGCCGGCCGTTCGCCAGAGTCTCAAAGTACTCCATGTCCGTGAGGAGGTTCTGCCACGAGGAATTGGACCCGCCCGCCTGCGCGTTTTGCGCAAAGTACGGGAACTCGTTGATCATGAAGAAGTCGACCGAGTCTGAAACTGCGGTGATGTTCCCCGATATCTGCCAGCCGAACGCCAGCTCGGAGATAGAGATGGGGATGTCGAGGCCCGCTGCGGTGAAGTTCGACCGCATGTTGTTGATGTAATACGCGAGGGCCTTTCAATCAAATAATCACAAGTCAAGGGGAGAAGGACGGCGCGGATGGTGGGATGCATACGTCGGGGCTCCCAGCATCATCGTCATATAGTGGCTAAGCGACCGTACCGGTAAGATGATTTCAAAGTGTTACTTATATGGCACAGACTCACTTCGTCGC